GCCCCGAGTCTGTCCTCAGGCTGGATTCATCTCCTGGGAGTTGGGGGTCAGGGGACAGAGGGCGGACGGTGCCGGTGGGGGCGGGAGAGGGCTGTGGCCCACAGGCCAAGTGCTGGCTTGTCTGCCGGGGCCCCAGGGCTGGGTGAGCCCCACCTGGCTCTCCTGTTTCTTACTGGGTGGCATCCTTGTCCTGAATGCGCACCAGGAGAACTGATTGAGGAAAAACCACTCAGGTTCAGAGGGTGGCTTGTGCCTGTCTTCCTGGATGCACAGGGCTGTCCCTGTCCCGACAGTTCACTCTGGTTCTGCTGACATACTATGGTGATTCCTGAGACTCTGTCTAGAAGCCTTTAGACTATTTCTGGCCTATGTGTCTTGGCAATACAGTTGGAATAGAATCAGCAAAACATTGTCAAGAATCAGTAAAGCATGCGACTCTTGATGTGAGGGTCTTCAAAGCCCCACTTTGAGGACAGAGCTCACTTAAGAAAAAAGAACACATGGGTGCCTGGGTGGCTCAGTCGGTTGAGCGTCTGACTTCAGCTCAGGTCATGATCTTGCTGACCGTGAGTTCAAGCCCCGCGTCAAGCTCTCTGCTGACAGGTAGGAGCCTGTTTCAGATACTGTGTGTGTGTGTGTGTGTGTGTGTGTGTGTGTGTCTCCCCCTCCCCCACTCATGCTCTGTCTCTCTCTCTGTCAAAAATAAAAAATAAACATTAAAAAAAAAAAGAAAAAAACAAAACAAACAAAGAAAAAAAACCTCACTCAGTCCCAGACCAGGTCCCAGGGAAGCAGTGTTTGCAGCTAAAAATGGAAGCATGACCTTTCTGCGGGCACTTACCAGCTTCCCCAGGCATGTGCCAGGCTCCTGCATATTCTGGGGACACTAGCCCCACCTGAGGGAAACCTGCGGTCGTCAAGCGAAACCCTAAGGACACGGTGACACCTCCAAAGGACCTGAGAGGCTATGCCCAGGGTCCAGGAAGAGGTCCAACTTCAAGCGGCTTCCTTGTGACCTTGAGCAAACCCGTAACCTCTCTGAGCTGCATGGGTCCATACTTTCCCCTGCTGTTTCTCTGTTTCTGCCTTGTTGCTCCTTGTTGTTACTTACCATTAGGGTGCCTTCCTTTTTTGTCCCTCGTTATGACCCCTCCCTCATCCAGGCAGGCCTAAGCAAAGGCCTCTCTCCTTTGCAGGCCCTCCAGCCCTCGGTGACACGTAAGAGGGTCCCCATGGGGCTCTAGAGTCTCTGCGGTGGACAAAGGGCAGTGGTACCCCAACAAGCCTGGGAGGAAACTATTTCGACTCCTTTTCCAGGGGAGGAAACAGGCTCAGGGAGATTCCGGAACCGCACCGGGCGCCCGAGGCCAGCGTGCCGGCAGCTAGGCCCTGAGCAAAGGGGGAATGCCTAAAGCGCGGAATAAGGGCACCGTTCAGCTGGTTTTCCCTTCCTGTGATTGTTTCGACGCTGTTCTAAAAACACGAAAGTGTTTCTAACTTCTCAGGCCCTCACCCCCACCCCGAGTTCCCGGATCGGCTCTTCTCGCCCGGAGCTGGGCCCGCTGCGCCAGCGGCTGCCGCCCGGAGGGCCACGGGAGGGCAGAGCCCAGGGGACGCTCCGCTCCCCAGGACCCGGGGACGGGGGCCCTGGCCGGGGCGGGGGGCAGGGCGCGAGGGGCGGGGGCGCGGCCTGCAGGCTGGGCTCGCGGGGCGGGGGCGGGGCAGCGGAGGGGGAGGGGCGCGCGGGTCCCTTCCCCCCGCGGGCCCCGCCCCCAGCCGGAGACCGCTCGCCGGGAAGCCGGCCCTGCCCCAAGGGTCAGCGCCGCGCGGCCGCCGGGCATCGCCGGGGCCCTGGCGAGCCGAGTCCCTGCTCTCCCGGCCTCGGTGCGACCCTCCGTCCTCGAGCTGGTCTGGCGGCAAGGGGTGAGTCTACAGCCCTCGGGGACAGTCGCGCTCCTCCTCCCCGCGCCGCACCCGAGCGCCCCGCGCCCGCAGTGGCCGGCGGAAGTCGGCCGAGCGTCTCGGCCCCAGGCGCGGGGTGCGGACCGCTTTGGCCGAGGAGGACACCGACACCGGCCGAGGGGGAGTAAAGTGACTTGTCCAAGGGTACCGGGCCATTGAGAGCGGAAGCGCGTTCCCGCCGCCCCCTGGAGAGCCCTGGCTCGGCCTCCCGGAGGAGGACACGGCTGCCCCCCACCCCACCCCGGGGGCATCACGGCCGCCCCTCTCCGCGCAGCCCCCATCCAGGCCGGGTGTGTCCCCGCCGGGCTGACTCGGGACTCGACTTCCGGTGTCCCCGCTGTGGCCCGCGGGCACCCTTCTCCCAGCCCCGCCCAAGCGCCCTGCCTTCGCCGCTGCGGGTCCCCTGGCCCGCCGAGGGCGGTGTCCCGCGGAGGGCGGCGGTTGGGAGGCAGATCCGAGAGCAGCTATCCTAGCCGTTGCCACCCAGGGGAGGGCAGGGCAGCAAGGATGGGGCCGCTGTCCCCTGAATAGGGCGCATTCCTTTGCAGGTGACACGGGTTTTAGAGCCTGCCAGCCCCAGGAGAGGTGGACTGACTCACCGAGGCACGCTCAGTCTCTGCAAGAGCCCGGGCTCAAATGCTGTACCCAGCAATGCGCGGCCACAGACTGGCCCTGGGCCTAGGATTCTGCCTGCTGTTGGGCGCTGCCCTCTGCCTGCTGTGGTGAGCGTGCCCCACGCAGCCCACCCCTCACCCCTGACTCCTCCCTTTCTTGGCCTTGCAACCCCCAAACCTTGACCCCTTTATGGGTTCCCGGGTCCCATCCACCTCTCTCGGCACACCTGTCCCCCAACCCCAGCCCCAGTAAGACCAAACTGGTTTTGGCTTCTGGATTTTGCTTTGCACTGGCCTCCTGGCCTTGGCACTTGCTTCTTCCTCTGCCTGGACCATTCTTCTAGCCACGTTAATGAAGCACTCGTGTCCACACCCCAAAATGCACCTCATGTGTTCCTTCTCTGAAGCCCCACCACCCCCGCCCCCACTCACCACCACGCTCTTGTGGGGGGGGGGGGAGGGGCTGGTATTAAGAACATTCCTTCCCTGGGAAATGAAAGACTGCACTGCAGAAGACCAGGAGGCTTTGACCTCTGAGGTCAGCCAGACCCAAAGAGTGGGGGGATCCCCAGATGCTCTGCACTGCAGGCCTCCACTCCCTTAATGTGCACCAAGCGTGTGCACAGTCAACAGGTGGGTGTTTTTCCTTCCCAGGATGTATTTTGAGAACTGGCTGCGGGTCTCCTATGTTCCCTATTATCTCCCCTGCCCAGAGATCTTGTAAGTATGGGGCTGGGAGAATTTGGGGCCCTGTGGGCTGTCTGGCGTGGAGGCAGTGGGAGAGTTTTACGGTCAGTTTGCAGATTATTAGTTCCTAAGCTCATGAGTCCGATCAGTTTGAGAAGTATTTGGGTAATTTGTGGGCTGCCACAAATATGGAGTAAAATTCCTATTTCAGTCCTCCAGTGTCTTTGAGCGCCCCCTCCGTGGTTTGACCTTGATCCTGCCACACGGCTCTGAGTCTCACTTGCTTCATCTGTGACGTGGGCTGATAGAGGTGTCGCTCCTGGCCGTCTGGAGCATGCAGTGTGAGGACGTCTGTATAGCCTCCTGTAGCAGGTGGCACATAGGAGGTGCTCAGGAAACAGTGCTCTTAGGACCTGACCTTTTGGCTAAATTTTGTGTTCAGTGAGGATTCAAGGAACAAATGAACATGTGACCAGTCTTCCCCCACATAAGGAACCTGATGCTTTGACAGTTTAGAGTGGAAAAACAGGTTGGCACAGTCTCAAGGGGGTGTCTTCATGATAGCTAAAGGGATGTTTACAATCCGGATCCTAGACTGCTT